GCTAATTTGGACAATTTGAAGAGTTTCTTTGGAATTTCGACCGTTTTCTTATGTTTTCAAGACTACTCTGCCTTCAAAATGAATACTGAAAAGGTAAGAATTAAATTTTCTATGAAAAAGAACCTTTTTTTAATTATTTTTTGTTCTATTTTTCAGGTTTATGAAGCTGTTTCAAGACTTTCGAGAGACTATTGGAACGCGAAAAGATTATCCATATAGCTAATTTGGACAATTTGAAGAGTTTCTTTGGAATTTCGACCGTTTTCTTTTGTTTTCAAGACTACTCTGCCTTCAAAATGAATACTGAAAAGGTAAGAATTAAATTTTCTATGAAAAAGAACTTTTTTTTAATTATTTTTTGTTCTATTTTTCAGATTTATGAAGCTGTTTCAAGACTTTCGAGAGACTATTGGAACGCGAAAAGATTATCCATATAGCTAATTTGGACAATTTGAAGAGTTTCTTTGGAATTTCTACCGTTTTCTTTTGTTTTCAAGACTACTCTGCCTTCAAAATGAATACTGAAAAGGTAAGAATTAAATTTTCTATGAAAAAGAACCTTTTTTTAATTATTTTTTGTTCTATTTTTCAGGTTTATGAAGCTGTTTCAAGACTTTCGAGAGACTATTGGAACGCGAAAAGATTATCCATATAGCTAATTTGGACAATTTGAAGAGTTTCTTTGGAATTTCGACCGTTTTCTTTTGTTTTCAAGACTGCTCTGCCTTCAAAATGAATACTGAAAAGGTAAGAATTAAATTTTCTATGAAAAAGAACCTTTTTTTAATTATTTTTTGTTCTATTTTTCAGGTTTATGAAGCTGTTTCAAGACTTTCGAGAGACTATTGGAACGCGAAAAGATTATCCATATAGCTAATTTGGACAATTTGAAGAGTTTCTTTGGAATTTCTACCGTTTTCTTTTGTTTTCAAGACTACTCTGCCTTCAAAATGAATACTGAAAGGTAAGAATTAAATTTTCTATGAGAATGAACCTTTTTTTAATTATTTTTTGTTCTATTTTTCAGGTTTATGAAGCTGTTTCAAGACTTTCGAGAGACTATTGGAACGCGAAAAGATTATCCATATAGCTAATTTGGACAATTTGAAGAGTTTCTTTGGAATTTCGACCGTTTTCTTTTGTTTTCAAGACTACTCTGCCTTCAAAATGAATACTGAAAGGTAAGAATTAAATTTTCTATGAGAATGAACCTTTTCTTAATTATTTTTTGTTCTATTTTTCAGGTTTATGAAGCTGTTTCAAGACTTTCGAGAGACTATTAGAACGCGAAAAGATTATCCATATAGCTAATTTGGACAATTTGAAGAGTTTCTTTGGAATTTCGACCGTTTTCTTCTGTTTTCAAGACTACTCTGCCTTCAAAATGAATACTGAAAAGGTAAGAATTAAATTTTCTTTGATAATGAACCCATTTTTAATGATTTTTTGTTCTATTTTTCAGGTTTATGAAGCTGTTTCAAGACTTTCGAGAGACTATTAGAACCCGAAAAGATTATCCATATAGCTAATTTGGACAATTTGAAGAGTTTCTTTGGAATTTCGACCGTTTTCTTCTGTTTTCAAGACTACTCTGCCTTCAAAATGAATACTGAAAAGGTAAGAATTAAATTTTCTATGAGAATGAACCTTTTTTTAATTATTTTTTGTTCTATTTTTCAGGTTTATGAAGCTGTTTCAAGACTTTCGAGAGACTATTGGAACGCGAAAAGATTATCCATATAGCTAATTTGGACAATTTGAAGAGTTTCTTTGGAATTTCGACCGTTTTCTTCTGTTTTCAAGACTACTCTGCCTTCAAAATGAATAATGAAAAGGTAAGAATTAAATTTTCTATGAAAATGAACCTTTTTTTAATTATTTTTTTTATATATTTTTCAGGTTTATGAAGCTGTTTCAAGACTTTCGAGAGACTATTGGAACGCGAAAAGATTATCCATATAGCTAATTTGGACAATTTGAAGAGTTTCTTTGGAATTTCGACCGTTTTCTTCTGTTTTCAAGACTACTCTGCCTTCAAAATGAATACTGAAAAGGTAAGAATTAAATTTTCTATGAGAATGAACCTTTTTTTAATTATTTTTTGTTCTATTTTTCAGGTTTATGAAGCTGTTTCAAGACTTTCGAGAGACTATTGGAACGCGAAAAGATTATCCATATAGCTAATTTGGACAATTTGAAGAGTTTCTTTGGAATTTCGACCGTTTTCTTCTGTTTTCAAGACTACTCTGCCTTCAAAATGAATAATGAAAAGGTAAGAATTAAATTTTCTATGAAAATGAACCTTTTTTTAATTATTTTTTTTTATATATTTTTCAGGTTTATGAAGCTGTTTCAAGACTTTCGAGAGACTATTAGAACGCGAAAACATTATCCATATAGCTAATTTGGACAATTTGAAGAGTTTCTTTGGAATTTCGACCGTTTTCTTTTGTTTTCAAGACTACTCTGCCTTCAAAATGAATACTGAAAAGGTAAGAATTAAATTTTCTATGAGAATGAACCTTTTTCTAATTATTTTTTGTTCTATTTTTCAGGTTTATGAAGCTGTTTCAAGACTTTCGAGAGACTATTGGAACGCGAAAAGATTATCCTTATAGCTAATTTGGACAATTTGAAGAGTTTCTTTGGAATTTCTACCGTTTTCTTTTGTTTTCAAGACAACTCTGCCTTCAAAATGAATACTGAAAGGTAAGAATTAAATTTTCTATGAGAATGAAACTTTTTTTAATTATTTTTTGTTCTATTTTTCAGGTTTATGAAGCTGTTTCAAGACTTTCGAGAGACTATTGGAACGCGAAAAGATTATCCATATAGCTAATTTGGACAATTTGAAGAGTTTCTTTGGAATTTCGACCGTTTTCTTTTGTTTTCAAGACTACTCTGCCTTCAAAATGAATACTGAAAGGTAAGAATTAAATTTTCTATGAGAATGAACCTTTTCTTAATTATTTTTTGTTCTATTTTTCAGGTTTATGAAGCTGTTTCAAGACTTTCGAGAGACTATTAGAACGCGAAAAGATTATCCATATAGCTAATTTGGACAATTTGAAGAGTTTCTTTGGAATTTCGACCGTTTTCTTCTGTTTTCAAGACTACTCTGCCTTCAAAATGAATACTGAAAAGGTAAGAATTAAATTTTCTTTGATAACGAACCCATTTTTAATGATTTTTTGTTCTATTTTTCAGGTTTATGAAGCTGTTTCAAGACTTTCGAGAGACTATTAGAACGCGAAAACATTATCCATATAGCTAATTTGGACAATTTGAAGAGTTTCTTTGGAATTTCGACCGTTTTCTTCTGTTTTCAAGACTACTCTGCCTTCAAAATGAATACTGAAAAGGTAAGAATTAAATTTTCTATGAGAATGAACCTTTTTTTAATTATTTTTTGTTCTATTTTTCAGGTTTATGAAGCTGTTTCAAGACTTTCGAGAGACTATTGGAACGCGAAAAGATTATCCATATAGCTAATTTGGACAATTTGAAGAGTTTCTTTGGAATTTCTACCGTTTTCTTTTGTTTTCAAGACTACTCTGCCTTCAAAATGAATACTGAAAGGTAAGAATTAAATTTTCTATGAGAATGAACCTTTTTTTAATTATTTTTTGTTCTATTTTTCAGGTTTATGAAGCTGTTTCAAGACTTTCGAGAGACTATTGGAACGCGAAAAGATTATCCATATAGCTAATTTGGACAATTTGAAGAGTTTCTTTGGAATTTCGACCGTTTTCTTCTGTTTTCAAGACTACTCTGCCTTCAAAATGAATACTGAAAAGGTAAGAATTAAATTTTCTATGAGAATGAACCTTTTTTTAATTATTTTTTGTTCTATTTTTCAGGTTTATGAAGCTGTTTCAAGACTTTCGAGAGACTATTGGAACGCGAAAAGATTATCCATATAGCTAATTTGGACAATTTGAAGAGTTTCTTTGGAATTTCGACCGTTTTCTTCTGTTTTCAAGACTACTCTGCCTTCAAAATGAATAATGAAAAGGTAAGAATTAAATTTTCTATGAAAATGAACCTTTTTTTAATTATTTTTTTTATATATTTTTCAGGTTTATGAAGCTGTTTCAAGACTTTCGAGAGACTATTGGAACGCGAAAAGATTATCCATATAGCTAATTTGGACAATTTGAAGAGTTTCTTTGGAATTTCGACCGTTTTCTTCTGTTTTCAAGACTACTCTGCCTTCAAAATGAATACTGAAAAGGTAAGAATTAAATTTTCTATGAAAATGAACCTTTTTTTAATTATTTTTTTTTATATATTTTTCAGGTTTATGAAGCTGTTTCAAGACTTTCGAGAGACTATTAGAACGCGAAAACATTATCCATATAGCTAATTTGGACAATTTGAAGAGTTTCTTTGGAATTTCGACCGTTTTCTTCTGTTTTCAAGACTACTCTGCCTTCAAAATGAATACTGAAAGGTAAGAATTAAATTTTCTATGAGAATGAACCTTTTTTTAATTATTTTTTGTTCTATTTTTCAGGTTTATGAAGCTGTTTCAAGACTTTCGAGAGACTATTGGAACGCGAAAAGATTATCCATATAGCTAATTTGGACAATTTGAAGAGTTTCTTTGGAATTTCGACCGTTTTCTTCTGTTTTCAAGACTACTCTGCCTTCAAAATGAATACTGAAAAGGTAAGAATTAAATTTTCTATGAGAATGAACCTTTTTTTAATTATTTTTTGTTCTATTTTTCAGGTTTATGAAGCTGTTTCAAGACTTTCGAGAGACTATTGGAACGCGAAAAGATTATCCATATAGCTAATTTGGACAATTTGAAGAGTTTCTTTGGAATTTCGACCGTTTTCTTCTGTTTTCAAGACTACTCTGCCTTCAAAATGAATACTGAAAAGGTAAGAATTAAATTTTCTATGAAAATGAACCTTTTTTTAATTATTTTTTTTTATATATTTTTCAGGTTTATGAAGCTGTTTCAAGACTTTCGAGAGACTATTGGAACGCGAAAAGATTATCCATATAGCTAATTTGGACAATTTGAAGAGTTTCTTTGGAATTTCGACCGTTTTCTTCTGTTTTCAAGACTACTCTGCCTTCAAAATGAATACTGAAAAGGTAAGAATTAAATTTTCTATGAAAATGAACCTTTTTTTAATTATTTTTTTTTATATATTTTTCAGGTTTATGAAGCTGTTTCAAGACTTTCGAGAGACTATTAGAACGCGAAAACATTATCCATATAGCTAATTTGGACAATTTGAAGAGTTTCTTTGGAATTTCGACCGTTTTCTTTTGTTTTCAAGACTACTCTGCCTTCAAAATGAATACTGAAAGGTAAGAATTAAATTTTCTATGAGAATGAAACTTTTTTTAATTATTTTTTGTTCTATTTTTCAGGTTTATGAAGCTGTTTCAAGACTTTCGAGAGACTATTGGAACGCGAAAAGATTATCCATATAGCTAATTTGGACAATTTGAAGAGTTTCTTTGGAATTTCGACCGTTTTCTTTTGTTTTCAAGACTACTCTGCCTTCAAAATGAATACTGAAAGGTAAGAATTAAATTTTCTATGAGAATGAACCTTTTCTTAATTATTTTTTGTTCTATTTTTCAGGTTTATGAAGCTGTTTCAAGACTTTCGAGAGACTATTAGAACGCGAAAAGATTATCCATATAGCTAATTTGGACAATTTGAAGAGTTTCTTTGGAATTTCGACCGTTTTCTTCTGTTTTCAAGACTACTCTGCCTTCAAAATGAATACTGAAAAGGTAAGAATTAAATTTTCTTTGATAACGAACCCATTTTTAATGATTTTTTGTTCTATTTTTCAGGTTTACGAAGCTGTTTCAAGACTTTCGAGAGACCATTAGAACGCGAAAACATTATCCATATAGCTAATTTGGACAATTTGAAGAGTTTCTTTGGAATTTCGACCGTTTTCTTCTGTTTTCAAGACTACTCTGCCTTCAAAATGAATACTGAAAAGGTAAGAATTAAATTTTCTATGAGAATGAACCTTTTTTTAATTATTTTTTGTTCTATTTTTCAGGTTTATGAAGCTGTTTCAAGACTTTCGAGAGACTATTGGAACGCGAAAAGATTATCCATATAGCTAATTTGGACAATTTGAAGAGTTTCTTTGGAATTTCTACCGTTTTCTTTTGTTTTCAAGACTACTCTGCCTTCAAAATGAATACTGAAAGGTAAGAATTAAATTTTCTATGAGAATGAACCTTTTTTTAATTATTTTTTGTTCTATTTTTCAGGTTTATGAAGCTGTTTCAAGACTTTCGAGAGACTATTGGAACGCGAAAAGATTATCCATATAGCTAATTTGGACAATTTGAAGAGTTTCTTTGGAATTTCGACCGTTTTCTTTTGTTTTCAAGACTACTCTGCCTTCAAAATGAATACTGAAAGGTAAGAATTAAATTTTCTATGAGAATGAACCTTTTCTTAATTATTTTTTGTTCTATTTTTCAGGTTTATGAAGCTGTTTCAAGACTTTCGAGAGACTATTAGAACGCGAAAAGATTATCCATATAGCTAATTTGGACAATTTGAAGAGTTTCTTTGGAATTTCGACCGTTTTCTTCTGTTTTCAAGACTACTCTGCCTTCAAAATGAATACTGAAAAGGTAAGAATTAAATTTTCTATGAGAATGAACCTTTTTTTAATTATTTTTTGTTCTATTTTTCAGGTTTATGAAGCTGTTTCAAGACTTTCGAGAGACTATTGGAACGCGAAAAGATTATCCATATAGCTAATTTGGACAATTTGAAGAGTTTCTTTGGAATTTCGACCGTTTTCTTCTGTTTTCAAGACTACTCTGCCTTCAAAATGAATAATGAAAAGGTAAGAATTAAATTTTCTATGAAAATGAACCTTTTTTTAATTATTTTTTTTATATATTTTTCAGGTTTATGAAGCTGTTTCAAGACTTTCGAGAGACTATTGGAACGCGAAAAGATTATCCATATAGCTAATTTGGACAATTTGAAGAGTTTCTTTGGAATTTCGACCGTTTTCTTCTGTTTTCAAGACTACTCTGCCTTCAAAATGAATACTGAAAGGTAAGAATTAAATTTTCTATGAGAATGAACCTTTTCTTAATTATTTTTTGTTCTATTTTTCAGGTTTATGAAGCTGTTTCAAGACTTTCGAGAGACTATTAGAACGCGAAAAGATTATCCATATAGCTAATTTGGACAATTTGAAGAGTTTCTTTGGAATTTCTACCGTTTTCTTTTGTTTTCAAGACTACTCTGCCTTCAAAATGAATAATGAAAAGGTAAGAATTAAATTTTCTATGAAAATGAACCTTTTTTTAATTATTTTTTTTATATATTTTTCAGGTTTATGAAGCTGTTTCAAGACTTTCGAGAGACTATTAGAACGCGAAAACATTATCCATATAGCTAATTTGGACAATTTGAAGAGTTTCTTTGGAATTTCGACCGTTTTCTTTTGTTTTCAAGACTACTCTGCCTTCAAAATGAATACTGAAAGGTAAGAATTAAATTTTCTATGAGAATGAACCTTTTTTTAATTATTTTTTGTTCTATTTTTCAGGTTTATGAAGCTGTTTCAAGACTTTCGAGAGACTATTAGAAGGCGAAAAGATTATCCATATAGCTAATTTGGACAATTTGAAGAGTTTCTTTGGAATTTCGACCGTTTTCTTCTGTTTTCAAGACTACTCTGCCTTCAAAATGAATACTGAAAAGGTAAGAATTAAATTTTCTATGAGAATGAACCTTTTTTTAATTATTTTTTGTTCTATTTTTCAGGTTTATGAAGCTGTTTCAAGACTTTCGAGAGACTATTGGAACGCGAAAAGATTATCCATATAGCTAATTTGGACAATTTGAAGAGTTTCTTTGGAATTTCGACCGTTTTCTTCTGTTTTCAAGACTACTCTGCCTTCAAAATGAATAATGAAAAGGTAAGAATTAAATTTTCTATGAAAATGAACCTTTTTTTAATTATTTTTTTTATATATTTTTCAGGTTTATGAAGCTGTTTCAAGACTTTCGAGAGACTATTGGAACGCGAAAAGATTATCCATATAGCTAATTTGGACAATTTGAAGAGTTTCTTTGGAATTTCGACCGTTTTCTTCTGTTTTCAAGACTACTCTGCCTTCAAAATGAATAATGAAAAGGTAAGAATTAAATTTTCTATGAAAATGAACCTTTTTTTAATTATTTTTTTTATATATTTTTCAGGTTTATGAAGCTGTTTCAAGACTTTCGAGAGACTATTAGAACGCGAAAACATTATCCATATAGCTAATTTGGACAATTTGAAGAGTTTCTTTGGAATTTCGACCGTTTTCTTTTGTTTTCAAGACTACTCTGCCTTCAAAATGAATACTGAAAGGTAAGAATTAAATTTTCTATGAGAATGAACCTTTTCTTAATTATTTTTTGTTCTATTTTTCAGGTTTATGAAGCTGTTTCAAGACTTTCGAGAGACTATTAGAACGCGAAAACATTATCCATATAGCTAATTTGGACAATTTGAAGAGTTTCTTTGGAATTTCGACCGTTTTCTTTTGTTTTCAAGACTACTCTGCCTTCAAAATGAATACTGAAAGGTAAGAATTAAATTTTCTATGAGAATGAACCTTTTCTTAATTATTTTTTGTTCTATTTTTCAGGTTTATGAAGCTGTTTCAAGACTTTCGAGAGACTATTAGAACGCGAAAAGATTATCCATATAGCTAATTTGGACAATTTGAAGAGTTTCTTTGGAATTTCGACCGTTTTCTTCTGTTTTCAAGACTACTCTGCCTTCAAAATGAATAATGAAAAGGTAAGAATTAAATTTTCTATGAAAATGAACCTTTTCTTAATTATTTTTTGTTCTATTTTTCAGGTTTATGAAGCTGTTTCAAGACTTTCGAGAGACTATTAGAACGCGAAAACATTATCCATATAGCTAATTTGGACAATTTGAAGAGTTTCTTTGGAATTTCGACCGTTTTCTTTTGTTTTCAAGACTACTCTGCCTTCAAAATGAATACTGAAAGGTAAGAATTATCTATGAAAATGAACCTTTTTTTAATTATTTTTTGTTCTATTTTTCAGGTTTATGAAGCTGTTTCAAGACTTTCGAGAGACTATTGGAACGCGAAAAGATTATCCATATAGCTAATTTGGACAATTTGAAGAGTTTCTTTGGAATTTCGACCGTTTTCTTCTGTTTTCAAGACTACTCTGCCTTTAAAATGAATACTGAAAAGGTAAGAATTAAATTTTCTATGAAAAAGAACCTTTTTTTAATTATTTTTTGTTCTATTTTTCAGGTTTATGAAGCTGTTTCAAGACTTTCGAGAGACTATTGGAACGCGAAAAGATTATCCATATAGCTAATTTGGACAATTTGAAGAGTTTCTTTGGAATTTCGACCGTTTTCTTCTGTTTTCAAGACTACTCTGCCTTTAAAATGAATACTGAAAAGGTAAGAATTAAATTTTCTATGAGAATGAACCTTTTTTTAATTATTTTTTGTTCTATTTTTCAGGTTTATGAAGCTGTTTCAAGACTTTCGAGAGACTATTGGAACGCGAAAAGATTATCCATATAGCTAATTTGGACAATTTGAAGAGTTTCTTTGGAATTTCGACCGTTTTCTTTTGTTTTCAAGACTACTCTGCCTTCAAAATGAATACTGAAAGGTAAGAATTAAATTTTCTATGAGAATGAACCTTTTTTTAATTATTTTTTGTTCTATTTTTCAGGTTTATGAAGCTGTTTCAAGACTTTCGAGAGACTATTGAAACGCGAAAAGATTATCCATATAGCTAATTTGGACAATTTGAAGAGTTTCTTTGGAATTTCGACCGTTTTCTTTTGTTTTCAAGACTACTCTGCCTTCAAAATGAATACTGAAAGGTAAGAATTAAATTTTCTATGAGAATGAACCTTTTCTTAATTATTTTTTGTTCTATTTTTCAGGTTTATGAAGCTGTTTCAAGACTTTCGAGAGACTATTGGAACGCGAAAAGATTATCCATATAGCTAATTTGGACAATTTGAAGAGTTTCTTTGGAATTTCGACCGTTTTCTTCTGTTTTCAAGACTACTCTGCCTTCAAAATGAATACTGAAAAGGTAAGAATTAAATTTTCTTTGATAATGAACCCATTTTTAATGATTTTTTGTTCTATTTTTCAGGTTTATGAAGCTGTTTCAAGACTTTCGAGAGACTATTAGAACGCGAAAACATTATCCATATAGCTAATTTGGACAATTTGAAGAGTTTCTTTGGAATTTCGACCGTTTTCTTCTGTTTTCAAGACTACTCTGCCTTCAAAATGAATACTGAAAAGGTAAGAATTAAATTTTCTATGAGAATGAACCTTTTTTTAATTATTTTTTGTTCTATTTTTCAGGTTTATGAAGCTGTTTCAAGACTTTCGAGAGACTATTGGAACGCGAAAAGATTATCCATATAGCTAATTTGGACAATTTGAAGAGTTTCTTTGGAATTTCGACCGTTTTCTTCTGTTTTCAAGACTACTCTGCCTTCAAAATGAATAATGAAAAGGTAAGAATTAAATTTTCTATGAAAATGAACCTTTTTTTAATTATTTTTTTTATATATTTTTCAGGTTTATGAAGCTGTTTCAAGACTTTCGAGAGACTATTGGAACGCGAAAAGATTATCCATATAGCTAATTTGGACAATTTGAAGAGTTTCTTTGGAATTTCGACCGTTTTCTTTTGTTTTCAAGACTACTCTGCCTTCAAAATGAATACTGAAAGGTAAGAATTAAATTTTCTATGAGAATGAACCTTTTCTTAATTATTTTTTGTTCTATTTTTCAGGTTTATGAAGCTGTTTCAAGACTTTCGAGAGACTATTGGAACGCGAAAAGATTATCCATATAGCTAATTTGGACAATTTGAAGAGTTTCTTTGGAATTTCGACCGTTTTCTTCTGTTTTCAAGACTACTCTGCCTTCAAAATGAATACTGAAAAGGTAAGAATTAAATTTTCTTTGATAATGAACCCATTTTTAATGATTTTTTGTTCTATTTTTCAGGTTTATGAAGCTGTTTCAAGACTTTCGAGAGACTATTAGAACGCGAAAACATTATCCAT